TTCCATACGTTAGATTTTCCTTGTGCCATTATATTTATAATTGAATGCAACAATAAAATGAACGATATATTCTTCAGGTCTACACCATGTAGAAGATGAATTTAACAATAATTTTCTCTAATTACTTTGCTATTAATATCTTCTCGTAGGTTAAGTTAGAAAACTTTTTCACTTCAACATTATTGAAAATACACCTTTAAACCTTTAAAACCTTACCTTTAAAAAGAAACCTTTAAAAAGATTGTACAAAAGAGAGCCAATCTGATAAAAAATGATTAGCTTTGTTCCTAGAGGACTCTGCGTCTCGAATCCCGCACTAATGGCACCAATTTTAAATATCAAATTTCGATCCGATATCCGGATACTAATAATTCGGCTATCAAACCGGATAGTAAAAAGGAGCTGGATATCCATCTCTTACGGGCATCATCTCCGGTCAGCCACGCGCTGATTGGCCGACCAACGACCGCTATAGATATGTACATCTAGCCTAGCTCTATGGTCTATGCCGCCGCCAACGCCACGTGCGTTGGCGTACCCACGCTGCCGCCATGTTGTGCAACAGCGCCGCCGCAGGCACGCGTTACAATGCGCAGCCATACTCGTTCACTCTTGTGCGCGTCATCGATCAGTGAACACCGTGCGAGCATCGTTCCTAAATCCTTGTCTCGTTCAAGTTTAAGTGTATTTCAATCTCTAAATTTAGTTTAAATCCTAGCTATTTCAATTTCTAATTTAACATATATATTATTAGTATTCCGTATCATCTTGTTCGTGAGTGTAAGTAAATTCAGTGAATATCTAAATATATCGATTTTTACTTAACGCCACGTGTCCTTCATTATCTCATCCCTTGTCTCCGAGATTCCGATAATAACGGATGTGTTCGCGAGGCTAAAGAGGCAACGGGCGTTCATAATAACTCAAGTCTTCTTTTATCGAATAATTAACGGCTAAAGCAAGAATTCCGATCGTTTCTGGGGGCAAGGTGTTGTGCGTCATCCGCACTACCACGAAGGAAACATCGGACTTCGAGCACGCGGTAGCGTGGCTCCTGCATTACAACGCGACGCCGAACCAATGCGTAATTGGCTCGCAGAATGTAATATCCTAACCCTAACCTTTTCATTAAATATAATATACGCCTAAAGCCTCTGTCGAATGCCTAAGGCATGGAAAAATCGCGCGGGTCGTAACAACGCACTTCGGCGACTCGAATACGACCTCCACGTGGCCGCGATTTACGACCACAATGCAATCATCGGCGAAGGAGTGACTTACGACGGCAAGTACGAACTCCTCGTGCATGATCGCCTCTGGAGCGCCCTGCCAGCCTCATCCGTGCCCGTAGCAGCTTACCAAGGAAGCAGTTTTCGACCACATATCTCCCTCGAAGAGTATCTGCGTAGAGCAAACACCAAAAGGTAAGTGAGAATTATGCATTGAGTTTTATTTCCGGTTGCTTTCGCATTTTCCCACCAGGCATACGTTTACACCGGTGAAAGAGTATACGTATAAGAAAATTAGATGTAAACGAATATAAGTATACTCGTCGTGTTCCGGATTCTTTCGGTTACATCATTCGCTTTGTTCGCGTCGAGCGACCGCCGCATAGTCACATCACTCGACCGGAAAGGTTTTACGATCGACCCTTTTTTTTTGCCTCCCTTGCTACTTTCCCTTAAGGCATGCAGGGTTTTGAGCCGCTTTACCGTTGCGTATAGAAATATTCTAGTTTCGAAATATTATTTAACGTTGAATATTCGCCGCGTAATGTTAACACACGTTATTTGACGTAATGTGCCCGCCTTGTTTCCTCGAGCCACGAGACTCACGCACTCACCCAGCTGCCGTATACAAATATCGTATGAGTACGGTGCATTGCCTTACCACATTTGGATATCGATGCGTAGACGACACTACCGCCGAATCGTTCCCTAACAGTGCCGAATATCTGTGCTTTCGATACAAGGAAGAAATACCAAAAGGGACGCTTACGTATCGTCTGGAACTGGCCCACGCGTTCCAGTTTGGGTACACTTCCGTTCGGGATCATTGTGATAGCTGCCGTACCAGTCTCGTGATAGTCTGCGACATCGAGCTTTGCCCCGAATGTACCGAGGTTTTTATCGTATCTCTGGAAGTACTCAGGGAATTAGGTAACACCATAGAAAACATCTGCGGACGATATTACCTTGACGAGACGAATCCCGCTCCCAACGGCGGGAAATTTTATCGCGCCGGCTAACCAATTTTTCCGTTTCACTGATCCGCTCATGGTCAAATAATTACTCGACGTCAGTTTAATCGCAAGGTCAGCCGCGTAATTTGCTGAAATTCCTCGGGAGCGTTTTCAATAATTTGCCGCTGAGCTTATCGGAGGGGCCTCCGCGGTCTTGACGTAACAGTGGTAAGTGCGGATGACGCACAGCACCTTGCCTCCAGAAACGATCGGAATTCTTGCTTTAAACTCTTAAACCTTAAACTCCTAATTATGAAGCCTTAAACTCCTTAAACTCTTACGCCTTAAACTCTTAATTATGAATTAATCGATTAGTCAATATTGAACTTGCTATTAACACCTAGTTGCCTCGTGCCCTCGTGAACACTTCCGTTAGTAGACGCAGTGATGAACCGTATGAAAAAGCAAACACATGGTGATTCGAATTTTATATTATTATATTCAGGAGATTAATTAAAAGTTGCACGCGCGAAGCTGTATTCTAATGCGGATAAAAGCGGTGATGGAGCGTGCGAAAGAACGAACGGCGATTTGAATTTAATATTAATATATTTAAACAATTAACTAAAGGTTACACTCACGAAGCTTTACTCACTAATACGAGATAAACAATCAAAATCGCTTATTTAGAACTAAAAATTGTAGCGGAATATGAACTAGAAATAGAACGGAATACGAACTAGAAATTGAATAACTACGCAACTAGAACTTGAATTACGTACTAGAGATCGGAGCAAGACGCTTGCGATGTCAACTGTTCGACGACGCGCACAAGAGTGGACGAGTATGTATGAGTGAACGCGTTGTAGCGCGTGCTTGCGGAGGTGCTGTTGCGCAACGTGACGGTAGCGTGGGTACACTAACGCACGTGGCGTTGGCGGCGGCATAGATTATAGAGCTAGGCTAGATGCATATCTATGGCGGTCGTTGGTCGGCCAATCAGTGCATGGCTGACTGGAGATGATGCGCGTAACAGTAATGCGAGCTTTATTGTAGTAATAATCTTACAATTAATTAAATTAATATCGTTATCATTAACATGATCTTATTATTAATGCAGGTATTATATTTAGGTATGTTTAAGGAACATTATATTTATTATTATAATTTAAATATTTTTAAAGTATAATTATAAAGTATTTCGTGTATTATTTCGTGTATTATATCAAATATTGTTGTTTATAGTTAGTAAGGAAATTGATTAGGATAATCGAATACATGTGTTATTAAATGTTAATATTTATAATTATTGAAGAAGACGGTTAGAATAATATTACATCTATGTAGCATAATAATGGCGGGGTGCGCCATGTTAGGCAGAACGGCAGGAGAGCCAATGGCCGTTCTCGGTCGCTGGCGATGAATTATATTAAGGTGATATTACATGCGTGGAAGGGGAAAAAAATATAAATGGCGGCTCTCCGGACGTTATACATATATACAAATTACGTTTTTCTTAAGACGAAAGATTTTTCTAGATCTAATAGCAAACGAAACTATTAAAATTTGTTCCAGGACCGCTCGTGAGATCCGACAAAATAGTGCCAACGATAAGAAGGACGACGAACGTCTGAAGAGAATATGCTTGTCCTGACGAGAACGGAATGCGAATTTTATGATATGATACACAACTTAGATCGAAAGAAGGAAACTGATTATCTGTATATATGAGATACAAATCACGTTTTTTTCTTAAGATGAAAGGTTTTTCCAGATCTAATAGCTAACGAAATTATTAAAATTTGTTTCGGACCGCTCGTGGGTCCGACAAAATGGCGCCAACAATAAGAAGGATGATGAACGTCTGAAGGAATATGCTTGTCCCCGCGCTAATGGAAAAAGATTTTTGCGGTACGATACGCAGAACGTAGAAGGTAGAAATTTGTTACTTTGTATATATGGGATGTAAATCAAGTTTTTCTTACGACAAAAGGTTTCTTAATGTCTAATAGCTAGCGAAACTTAAAAATTTGTTTCGAGACCGCTCTGGATTCGATAAAGTGATATCTGCGACAAGAAAGATTAAAAAAAGAAGGGAGGGTGTGCGTCACGGCGGGGCCCGACCACGAACCGTCAAAACTCGTAATTATTTTGCGAAAAAATACCACCTCAGCCAGGAAGCGAATCTGGATCTCCTACTTACCGGGCAGGCATCTTATCCCTTCGACTACCGAGGCATGTGATGATATTTATCGTAAATAACATGTTTAAAATAACACGTCAATAATAAAATGATACACATATATATACGTATATTACAATATACATATATATTAGTTTCGTAAACTAAAAACGTTCGTGTACGTTTCGTTTTTTTTAAGTTAAAATTCAATCTTTATTCAAAAACAAACAAAAAATATTAATCAGCGAAATATTCCCCGTTTACATCAACAACCTTTTCCCATCTTTCGGGTAGCTTGCGAATTCCTTGATGATAGAAGCTCACAGGCTTCGAAGCGATAAAGTCATCAATGCATTTTCGTATCTCTTCAAATCTCACGAAATGTATATCAGAAAAAAAAATGATGCTGCAGCGATCAGAATAGATAGTAATCGGAAGGCGCCATGTCTGAGCTATACTCCGCGTGCGAGAAAAGTTCCCAGCCTAACGCAAAGATATGGTCCTGAGTCGCTTTC